TCTGTAAACTGGAGATGGTCTTTATCAAAAACATTCATTTCAAAAAATTCTTAATGTAAGGGTGTCTAGAAATAAGTAAAAAATTCTCCCCCTTCAAAACAGACGCTAAATCTGACTCCACTGTTTTGAAGTATTAATACTCAACCCTCTATTCAGACCAAATGGTGAGAATGCCAAAACCAAACTAATGGAGACTTTTTGGAAGACATCCTCTTTTACAATTGCTTCAGCCATAAAACACATACCTCCTGACGTCACAAATGGTTCTGTATGGCTGCCAAAATTATCTGAGCAACTTTGTCAGAATAACTCTTGGATTTCTTTCAATTTGCCCCACTCAGTTTCCAAGTCTATACTTGTAACCAACTTGGATCTGGATGAAGAAGCCCTTTTTGGCTTAACAGCCATGGTGGAAAATGCCAACAGTCCTTTCTCTTCAGACTTGCCACGTTGGAAAATCAGGCTCTGTAAGGCCAAAAGAGTGCTCTGAGAATCACCTCTACTCTATTCATCCTGATCTTTCAAGTCACTACCATTCAGGACCTGGAAACAAATCTGGGCAATCTGTAATTTCTTTTTGAAGCAAACAAGCCCACCCTTGTGATGCCAACTACCTGAACTACCCTGTGAAACATGAAGGTATCCAGATACCATTCTCCCTGATTTAAGTTTTTCTTGTTCATCCAATCCATTTTGGTACTGACTTGGTCCTAGAGATATTTGGCCTGGAGTAAAAACAGATCTGCCACAGGAGTCCCATCTCTTGCAGCAGGAATCCCGTTTATTTCTGGATCACTTCTTTGATATATGACAACAGCAGAAAAAATATTATTTGTTCAAATTTGTAAACACACCGATGCATGAACAGTGAAAAATATATCATTAAGGTTGATAAGTTAGCCCAAATGGCCAATTTAACATGGATTCTAAAGTTTAACCCAGCTAAAGCCTTTTTGAAAGACTGAAATTTCTATTGAAAAGAGATTTCATCTAAACATTAGAAGATCTTCCTGAAGGTAAGAACAATGGATCACACTCCCTCAGAGAGTGGTGGTCTTCTTTTTTGGAGGTTTTTAAACAGAGGCTGGATGGCCATCTATTTAGGGTGCTTTGATTATGTATTCCTGCATGGCAGGACATTGTACCAGATAGCCCTTGTGGTCTCTTCCAACACTAGGATACTATGATTGGAAACAGTTTACAAATTTTTTTTTAGCAAAAAGAAATCTGACAATGCAATAATCTGTAGCTATGGTTATTAGTAATTTTAGTAGGATTAGTTAGTTTGGTCTGTAATGGTAGAATAATATTTTCTCTTTTTTGTTTTTATTTTCATCACAAGCAAGATTGGGGAGCGGGGTTGTCAGAGTTTTCCAGTGTATTAGAACTATGTCTTTTTCTTTGTCTTTTTACCCTTTTCTCCTTCTCCTCTTTTTCTGTTTCATTAGACTGTTTGTACAACAAACAAATAAAAATTAATCATTAAAAAAGGAGTACCTTTCATGAAGGAATGAGAACACATCTCCCCCTGCTGATTTATGTAGGCTTTGACAGAGATGCTGTCTGAACAGACTAATACATCTGTGCACTGCATCAGGTGCTTCAGTGTTAATCGTACCACTTCCAGTTCCAGCTAACTGTTGCTTAACTTTCCTTGGTCTGAGACCAAAGGTCCTGCACCTTGACAATGAAAACTTTGATTCATCCACTGAAATTGGTACAGCTGCAAGCACTATTGCAAACATTGTTTTAAGATGAAATGGGCCCTTGGTATCCACTGGGGTTTGGTTCCAGGACTTTCCATTGATACCAAAATCTGTGAGTGCTTAAGTCCCATTTTTAAAAAAATGGTGTAGTGAAATGGAGTCCCTTATATAAAATGGCAAAACCAAGGATTGCTTTCTGCAATTTTCAAAACATAAATAGCTGAATCCACGGATGTAGAATCAATCCATGGATCTGGAGGGTGACCATATTCAATCACAGTTGTCCCTCCACGTTTGCAGGGGATAGGGATGCAGGGCTCCTGTGAAAGTGGAAGAATTGTGAATATAAACATATTTAACACAGGGAAAAAAAGTGCCTGTACAATCTATGGATTATTTGGTGTTTAACTGTGTCCTGCTGCACGTGTGTTCCCTCTCTTGCTCATTGGCTCACTCACTTAGGCAGGCAGGAGCAAGGGGATGGGATGGAAATGCAGAAAACCAAAATGGGGGTTTGGTTGCACCCCTGGGGCACATGTGTTCCCTCACTTGTTTACATGCTTGCTCACTCAGGTGGGCAGGGGGCAAACGGATGAGAAAGGAGAATGGGCAATCGAACTGGCAAGGTGACTGCACCTGTTGTGCACACATTCCCTTACTCACTCAGGGAAAAGACTAAGCACACTCTCATATACAGACACGACAAGCCATGAGAGAATGAGATTGGTGGTGGCCTCAGCAGATCTGGACTTAATAAGGGCTGCAAGTCTGTTCTTTCTTATCTCTATTTCTGCAGGTATTGTGTGCACACAGGGCAAGAGGCTCTGTTGGGGACTCCCTTCAATTCATTTTTGAACCAGTGACCCTGAGTTCTGGCATTATGAAAGTACCGGTAGAGGATGGGGAGGAAGAAAAACTATCTTCCCATTTTCTCCACACTCTTCTTTTATTCAATAAACCATCATAAATGCTCCCTTTGCACTTGCTATCCCATCCCCATTTCAAAAGCCTGCCATATCCATTGGGGGCATTGGATTTGCCTCCCTATTCACAGCTATGGATAACCCCCCTCCATCAGTTTTATTCTCTTTTTGGGATATGAGGAGGTGACACAGGATTCCCAAATGCAGCTCCTAGCTCTGCTGCCTCCACTTCCAGTCAAGGAACTTTCCCACACCTGAAGCCTCTCTCTGTCTCTCATATCCCCCATGTCCCACCACTTGCGGCTCAATGCGGTTGTGTGTGAGGGTGCGTAATCTTCCACCTACCTTCCCCGCTGCCCGTGCTGCCATCCCACCTAAGTGAGCAAGCCACTCTGCCAGTTTGATTTCCCATTCCCCTCTGTCTCATCCCCTTACCCTTGCCCACCTGTATGAACAAGGAAGGGAATGCAGGGGTGGCAGGACGCAGCCAAACCACCAACATGATATTCCACTCCTCCATCTCACCCCCTTGCCCCTGCTCACCCAAGTGAGCGAGACAGCAAAGCCAAACTGCCTGACTTAAATGAACACAGCTCAAGATGGATATTATCCAAGTCCCTGCATTGTCAACAAATCTGTGAATAATCAAATCCATAGAGGTGAAGCCCACAAATGTGGTGGGATGATTGTAAAGCGGGGGTAGGCAACCTAAGGCCTCCCAATTGTCTGAGGAACAGCAACCTGGCCCCCGGCTCAAAAAGGTTGCCTACCCCTGCTGTAAAGTATAGCTTTCCACTTTCTCTCACAGTCATTGAATTTTTAGGAAGAGTCCACTGTTTTGATTATCTATTTCTTTTTTCTTGTATCTTCTAGGGGTTTCAACTTTATCCTCAATAGTATAACTCTGTAGTACTGAATTTTAATTTTATAAATACATTTTATTAAAATAACCATATCAAAATCTATCAATATCAAAACTGAGAGCCTTATTATACTGGACCAATAGTCTTATTATACTGTACCTTAGTAAATAATCATACTTTCAGCTATACAAATCTTACTTCAGTCATTCTTGCAACCAGTTTTCTTAAAACAATAGAACATTTAAATATTAATCATGATTAACTCAACAGTTCCATCCAATTCATTTTTATTTATCTATTTACGTACTTTATTTATATGTTGCCTGTCTCTCAAAGTGGCTTCCATAACTTTCCATAACACATTAAAATTTTAACTAAATTATACTTTAGTTATCATTATTATTAAGGATACATACTGCTTATTCCTTTCATACTACTTATTCTTCCCCAACATTAACAGCTTTCCCAGACTTACTCTTCTCCTCCCTAACCTTAGTTTAATGTATTTAATTAAAGACAAATTAAATTTTCCATTGAATAATCTTTGGTGTGTCTGCATTTCTCTAATAGTTATAAGGACTTGCAATGCCATTGGTAAGATGATTACACTACTGGCAGTTAGAAGAAACAAAATAAATTTGTTATAGTCTCCACAGTAGGCTGATCAGACATCCTCCTTTTATAGGACATGTCCTACATTTCAGCCTTCTCTCCAGGAGTATTTTCAAAATGTCCTCCATTTTAGGCATGACTAAGAACCATGATTTTATATTTATATTAATGTTTTAGCTTTTATTTTATGACAGTTATGACATCTGGTCACCCTGCTCCATAGCAAATATTTTAAAATAATTTTCCATTACACTAATCACATGAACTGCAAATAATGATTCTACAATACTCAGCAGCTTTTAAAACAGCAGGCCCAAAGGTTACTGTGAAATACATGGGAGCGCACAGGAAATTTATTCCAAGAATGGGCCATGATTCCCATAGAGGCCAATAATGGCAGAGTCTCTGCATCTCTGGAAATGCAAGGTTCAGTTATCAACTCTGCTATTTATATGAAGCTGCAGGATGAAACTATCCAGAGGTCAGTCAGATATCAGTATCACACCTACCTCTATTTTTGTTTTGCAAACAAACCAGCATATGAATGAAAGCAAGCAGATTGCAACCAAGTCCAAACAAGGTGTAAGTGATTATAGGTGGCAGTAATGGCTGCTCACTTCTCTTTACTAACCTACCCCCCTTGCCACATACATCAACTGGAAGACCTAGGATTTCTCAAATGTCGAGATTACACATTTACAGGAGAACCATATTTGCTACCTCCACAATGTTTCAGTTAGTTTGTATACACTTTGCTAGTATGGTTACAGACCCTGCTCATCATCCAAGAGTTTTTGCTATGTGCCTTCAAGTCATTTCTGATTTATGGCAACCCTAAGGGGAAACCTATCATGAGGTTTTCTGAGGCTGGCAGTGTGTTACTCAGTGGGTCTCCATGGCTGAGCAGGGATTTTAACCCTGTTCTCCAGAGTTGTAGCCAAGTGTTCAAACCACTACACCAGGCTGGCTCCCTATCCGAGAGTTATAAGGTCATAAACTATCCTCAGTATTTTGCCTTGCCTCACTAGCTAAAGGGAGAAGGGGGTTCACCACTAGTCCCTTGGTTTTGTAAACATATGGCATATACTTAGCATTCAAGGGAGGGGTGTTTGCAGGCTTAGTGAAAACAGGACAGGCAGAGGTACAGGGGAACAAACAGGTCACAACCTGGTGGACTCCATATTTATTATCTACAACTGTATAAGGCTTGACCCAGCATGGGACAGGGATCTGGGGATCAAATGGTTTGCCTGCTGTCCAAGGGACTCTCTTCATCCCATGCACTCCAAGGTGCACCCTGGAGAAGTAAACATGGAACCCATGCTAATATGCTGTTGTTGTTGTGTGCCTTCAAAATGTTTCCGATTTATGGTGACCCAAAGGTGGGCCTATCATGGGGTCTTCCTGGCAAGATTTGTTCAGAGGAGGTTTGCCATTGCCTTCTCCTGAGGCTGAGAGCATGTGACTTTCTTTCCCAAGGCCACTTAGTGGGGATTTGAACGCTGGTCTTCAGAGTCGAGTCCAACACTCAAACCACTACACCAAGCTGGCTCTTGCTAATATACTAATCCATGCTAATCCTTGCCACCTGGGAGTGAGGTGGGCCATCAGTCCCAGGCCTCACTGGCCCCTGGCCTGGCCATGTTAGCCTGTACCCCCAAGGTCCCTTAAGGGAGGGGTAGGCAACCTGTCCCCTTTAAGGGCCGAGGGACTTCAGCTCCCAGAAGCCTCAGCCATGTTGGCCAATAGTCCCATGTTGGTCAATAGCTCCTGGGATTCTGGGAGCTGAAGTCCCTCGGCCCTTAAAGGGGAAAGGTTGCCTACCCCTGATTAAGGGGACCACAATACTAGGGGAAAGGACTGACAAGCAAACTCCATCTCCCCCAAAACTGGATCTGGACCCATAATACAGCCCAAGTTGTGGCAAAGTAAGAAACAAACAGAGTAACTGGACAAAGGTCATTTATACACAATAATGATGTGAATGAGAATCCTAGAGATTCTGCTTCAAGGGAGAAGGGAGGGATCTGGCTAAATTATCCCTCAGCAGACCTGAAGCTATCCTCAGTAGGGAGAGCCCACCTGCCAAGTAGGTAGTTGGGCTGCTGACTGGATAATGTCCTGTGGGCCTGCAGAAATGAATGGCATCAGCTAAATATGAGAGCTGACCATGTCACCCCACAGGCTGTATACCAAGCCACCCAATGAGTCTGCCTATTCTTGTGCTGGGGTTTTGTAGACGATGCAATGAACACCCCAATGCTGCCACTGCAAAAGTCCAATCAGAAGCGAGATAAATTCTCATTTATGTCTCATTTATAGAGAGAACAAGAAGAGATGGTTTCTATGGCTGCTGCAAAACACACACAGAAGTAATGCCTTCTGCTGCTGCTTCTGGCAAAAAAACAAAATGAAAAAAGCAGTGTGATGGGGAGAAAAACAGCTTTCCTCCAGCAAGCTCCCCATATAGGAAAACAGGCCAATTTTCCCCCTTCCCTTGGGATTCCCTTCCCTTTGGGACTTTTCAGCAACAGCAAGGGCATTAACACTTTCTGCAAAAACTCAGCATGCATGATTCTCTATTATTTTTCTTCTTCCTTTGAAGGAGTTGATGCATTGCAGACTGTCTCCTGAGAGTGGACAGAAGAGAAAAGAACATCTTTACAGCCACTGCCTGGACTTTTCAGATCCAACCTCAGAAGTGTTGAACTTGCTTTTTCAGGAGCCCTCTTCTGATAAGCTTCATGAAAGAGTGCAAATGGCTTTTATCTTTTCAAAGAAATATTTAGTGGTCATATCTTGCTGCAATGTTTCTAGTAAAAACTTTTCCAACTATTATGAAGAACCATTCATCAAAATTATATTTGGGTACATTATGACTGTAACCTTCCTTGGACATTTTGATGTGGCAAGGTAGAAATCTATGTGAAAGTTCAAAGCCCAGATGCCATTAGCCACTTCTCAGGGACAAATTATGTACAGCGTTGGACATCAAGATAAGGATTTCTCATTGCTTTTGTTCTGCCATGCAGCTACTCTGAAGATCAGAAAATAGTATTTAATTTCCCCCTCCTATGTCTTTTCTCTAGTATACAAGCATACATACCTTAGTTAACAAAACCTCTGACAAAAAAGCTCCTTTTTACAAAGTCTGTTTATGCCTGCCCATCCCTCTTCTTCCTCATCCTCTGTTTAGCAGAAAGTTTTTTAGATTTCTAAGTTTAGCCACCAATATGGAAATCGTAAGGAATGTGAAGGCTGGGAAAAGAAAAAATTGTCCCTTGGATGGGTTTTGGAAGATGTTTCCAAATGGTTTCTAGAAGGTTGGAAAGGTTTTTCTTTATTTATGCAAACCTTATTTGACCTGGTCGTTTCACTTTACATGTGCATATTGTTCATTCTGAATTTAAAAGTTTGATGACGCTTACTGAACAGCTCTTCTTTTTTATATTGAGGAATAGGCTGGCCATATTGAGACATAAACGGGACATTAGGATGACAAAAGTGGGACAGGATTATGCAATATTCCATATTCATGATTACAAAGTTTGATTAGATGAACACACTGAGCTAACGATTATTCTTCAGTGACAGAACTCATACAAAAACTAATGTTACAGCAGAACAGACGCCACCAGGTCTTCATATGGACTTTGGATATTCATTGGACTAGGACTCTGGAGAACAGGATTCAAATTCCCATTTAACCATGTAAACCCACTGGGTGCCTTTGCCTTCCCTTCCATTTCACAGCCTCAGAAGGAAACACAGGGTAGGGCAGTGAGCAAGAAGGCAAAGTTGCAGCCACTCATGTAGGCAAGGGGATGCTACTGCCACCACCGCCATTGATTCCTTTTGGGTTTAGCCAGGCAGGAATGTGAGGCGTTGGTGGCCAGCATGTTCACAGCCTTTTTTCTTCTGGGGAAGGCATTGGTGCCACCACTGCCACCTCCACCCCTTCCTGCAGGCCAGCAGCCCATCCAAACCATGAAGGAGATGGGGGGGGGTAGTGTGACCCTGCCAGGAAGCTTGACCTGGCTAGGGTTTATTTTAAAAAGGGAGAAAACTGTCATTTATGTTAAAAGGATGGGATGGTCGGAAAATGTTTTTTAAAACTGCACTGTCCAGTTTAAAAACTCAGCCTATGTATGAACCTATCCCTATTCCTTCCATGTTATTTCTGGAAAGAAATAGTGTCCAGGAACACATCCACTTTGGTAACCGAGTACAACAAATTATAAAATCCACAAAACAATTATACCTTTATTGGGCCAACTAAAGGTATCATTGTTTTGTGAATGTTGTATTTTGCTGCATGGCCAACACAGCTATCCCTGAATTGGTTAACTGAGGTATACCTGTAAAAAAAGATAGAAAACTTTTGGGCTGGAATACTTTACCACAACAATTGTTTTCTGCACTGAACTGGAAACGATGTCAATGGGTGCTCACAAAAAATTGATGAGTGAACAAAGCAATTCCATAGAAAGGGCAAGTGTGGGAGCATCCTACAACATACTCTTCTGTAAAGAAAAATAATTAATACATGCACATACACATACACCTTACTTCCCATGCCAGATTCTTCACCTAACCTCTCAGGTTTCACTACATATCTGAGTGAAACTGAGAATCCAACAGATTCTGCTGACAAGCTCATTCACTTTATTATAACTTCAGAGGTGTGGCTATGTTAATCCAAAACTCTCCAAGATTTCTTGTTTTCCCCCAATTTTATTGCATCAATTCTCATAGACTTCATGTATATTTATGTTAGGTTCTCAGAAAATGCTAAGATAATAGCAGCCCACTGGGACAAAAATATATCAATCAATGGAAAACATTTAGGCCAAAAGTGATCATGTATCCCCAGAAAGAAAGGAAAAAACCCAGAGAGCTAGTATAAAAGACAACGCCCTAAGTATAGGGAACAAAATCCAAGCCAGAAAGCAAATTTTAGCATCCAGCAATTTGCCAGTGCAGGAAGCAGCAATGATGCAATGTCCCATTCCTAGGCCCCATTGATATCCTGCCAAAAGCCAGGACAGAAGCACAGTGTTCTCTCTGGAGAGGAAATTGAGCTAGTCACCAAGCAAGGAAATGTTTCCTACTGTACGAGTGCAACAGTTGAGTGAGGACAATGATTTAAGTTCAGTTCAGTTCTCTTTTCTGCAGCTTTCTGCCCTGATGGCTGAAGGACACAGTAGGCAACTTGGTGAGAAGGGGGCAAGAGGGAGACTCAGGATCTTGACAGACTGCAGTGCCAGCTACTCTTCCAACAATTTTAGGGATAGCTATAGGCAGTGGTTGCTTCACATGCTGGATTAGGCCAAATCTTATTCAATCCCTGGATATGAATCGCTGTAGGCTTACAAAGTCTATCATCTCAGCTTAAGAGAATCATCACAGTTTAAGAAAAGGCAAAAAGGATTCATGATTTGCAAAGCATAGTAACAATCATACCCATTCTTCAGGTGGTAAACTAAGGCACAATGAGAACACAATGAGAAGTATTCTGTGGTACCAGGATGAGTAACAAATTTATTTATCATGAACAACAGATCAACTAGTCTATAGTCTATGAAGGCGCAGACTGTAATATATTTGCTAGTCTTTAATCTGGCACAGGGCTCTTTTGGATCTTGAGATACAATAATTGTAATAATTGTAATAATTGCTTTCTGTTGCAGAACACAGGATGAGTGCCCAGGAGTAGACGCTAAGAAAGGATTGAAAGACTCCAGTAGCTCCTTATGTAATCCTATCTGCCTTACCTGGAGCACTGCAACCTTGTATGTGTGTGCATGTGCCTTCACGTCTGCTCTCGACTTATGAACCTATGAATTTCATAGGGTTTTCTTTGGTGAGAAATAGTCAGAGTTGGCTCTGCCAGCTCCTTTCTCTAAAATGTAGCTTTACCCTTCCAGAATTTCCCTGCTCCTCCCAGCTGAGTCAAGGCCATGCCCTG